TGTTGCTTAAAGCTCAATGCAGTGTTTATTTTTTTAAAGATATGTGTTCAATATTGTATTAAAGGCTCATGTTCAATTCAAATCCTTTATTGGATGCATTTTGTTGAGAGTCCTTCTGGCAAAGATATTAATGTAGACACCACTGCCTGGAAACATATGCACAGAGACTTCAAAGTTTTCCCACTGATGTTTCAGCATCTGGTAAATAAATGCATGCATGTTACATTGTGGACTGCATAAAGAAAACAAAGTGTTCCAAGTGATATAATGCTTAGATAGGGAGAACTTTGAGGAGGAAATGGAGATATTAACTGGCCATGTACCTTTATTTTAAATAATGTTTCTGAAGTCTTGTCATATGGAGCTCAGCAGCAAATCTGACATAAATCAAAATATTCATCGCAACAGTGAACCTTTAGTTTTGAAATATTGCTCCCACTAGATCTAATTTTCTATTTGGTTGCTTTGCAAGTTGCTAAAACTGTGGGAATAGTTGTCAAAAATGTACATTTATAAAGAGCTGCCCTCCTCTTTTCTTATTAAACTGTATTTGTTTTAGGAGCATAGACAGAGTAAAAGTGAGACTACCTTTGGAACTGCAGGCGATTGCAGGAAATGATGAAAGCTTTTTAATTTCACAATACATAGACAGACTTAATCATAGTTTCAACAGGGAAACTGGGATCAACAAGCATGTCAAACTCGCATTATCACGGCAGCATCACTTTTTTCATTAAACCGGATTTGGGCATGGCCAGCACACTGTGCAGCTGGCCCATGGGCTGCAAGTTTGACAGCCCTGCTCTAGACCAGGGGTCATCAACCTTTTGGACCACAGGGACCACCAAACTCCTAATTTTAAATCCCACAGACCAGAGACCCTGGGAAAATCCCCCAAAAAGTCTGCAGGAAAATTCCCCATCCTATTTTCTTACCGATCAATCACTCTTTATTTGGGATCACAGGATACTGTTTCCAGATCCATTCTCAGGGAGAGAGAGGGGGGGGAGAGAGAGACTTCTGGCTTCATTCAAGGAAAGCAGCAAAAGCAGAAATGAGTCTTTGCCAGAATGACTCATTGCTGGCGCAGCCTCTTAGAGGAAGATGCCTTGCAGGGTCCCAAAGACTAATTTCCGATAGAGTTTGGGAGAGAGGAAGAAAGACTTTTGCTGCTTTCCTTTCATACAACCAAAAGCAAAAGAAATTGGTCCAATCTAAGTATAGTATATAAAATCATATATTGCAATGTCCTACCTGTCAATGAATACTTCAGCTTCAACCATAACAACACAAGAGCAAACAATAGATACAAACTCAAGGTTAATCGCACCAAACTTGATTGCAGGAAATATGACTTCAGCAACAGAGTGGTCAATTTCTGGAATACTCGACCTGACTCTGTGGTTTCTTCCCCAGACCCCAAAAACTTTAACCTTAGACTGTCTACTATTGACCTCACCCCTTTCCTAAGAGGTCTGTAGGGGGCATGCATAAGCGCACCAACATGCCTACCGTCCCTGTCCTATTGTTTCTTCTTATTTTTCTTATATGTATCCATTTCATGTATTCATAACTATGTTTATACTTATACCTATTATCTTGTAAGCGATTGACAAATCAAATAAATAAATAAAAGAAAGAAAGAAGCGGAAAGAAGCAGTTTGGTGGCCAGGCCAGGCGCATGGGGTGAGTAGGGCAAGTTCCCCTCTCAATCTTTTCCCCCTCCCCTCACTCCCTTGTGTTGTTCACAATGCAAGCTATGCAAGCCTTGTGTTCCCACGGGCCATGTGGGAGGCTCAGCCTTGTGTTTCCGCATAGCCTGGATTAATTGCTTTTGGGAGGTGCTTTCGGGGTGACATTTCTCTGCGGACCACCAAAAGTTACTTGCAGACCATCAGTGGTCCCCGGCCCACTGGTTGGCAACCACTGTTCTAGACCAAGCCAAATGCAAAAACACTGGAGAATTCCTGGAAGTCTGTCACTCTTATAAAATGGCCATTAATAGGCACATAAACATAAACAACATCTACAAACTATTCAAAGGAGACAATCAACAAGCCAAAAAGGGAACAAAAAGACCCAAACACGTCCTCACTAGCAATCAATACCCAGATAAATAGAAATTAACACCAAAATTAAATTAGACCAACAGACAAGAAGCAAATAATGCACCAATCAAGGAACTGCCAAACAAGCTAACAGTAAACAGCACAACTAAAGACCACCAAGACCACTCCTACAAACACTGACAGAATACAAAGTGAGACCAAACTTCACTCCCTGCTAGCACAGACATTATGAAATGTCTGCAAGAAAGCAACCAATCCCAAAGAGCATTGAGGACTTCTGCCTACAATTAATGAAAGTCTAATTATTGAAGCACAATATATTTTGTACCCTCACTTTCTGCATGCCTGCTTAGTAGGTATGTTAAAGCCACCCTAAATTTCTATTAGAATGATATATAAACTTTACCTTTCCTTAACATCTCAGAGAAGACAGATACAAATGTTACATAATAATATGTAATATCCTCGTGTGGGGGGTTTTACATTACACCTACTTCACTCTTGTGAAAGAAGGCTGTTTATATTTATAACTTATATCCTATTTAGGGTTTTAGGTTATACTGATCACCAGGAGTTAGATACTATATGAATGGTTTTGACCTTATTCATACTCCTCAGATGAAGGTAGCTTGTTGAGTTTCTTTGGGGTTCACTTGGAATCAACTGGAAATCAACCTTTGCATTTTATAAGTAGAATGTAATAGAATGCCAAACATGGTATCATGTAAGTCATGTTAAATACCCAGGCACATGAATCTGTTTTGCAAATCTTTATCCCTCTGCACTGCTTCAAATGAAGCTTCAGGGAACATAGATTATCCATATCATTCAGATTGCTTCTTGTTGGAAGTGTTGAGTCATGATGTGGATATTGTTGCATATTGCTCCTGAATATTGCCAGAGCTCCATTTGGGTTGTAATAGTATATGAAGGAATCTTAGTAGCAAATAATATCGAAGTTTAATACTTCATTTATTTCATAACAGAATAATCCAACATACAAAGAGCCAAGGAAAAAAATCATGAGTTCAAGTCCTGACTTAGCTAGGAAAGCCAACTTGGCGACCTTGGGGAATATCACAGAATCAAAGATGGCCTACAAAACTGAACAGTTACAACAGCAAATAAAAATTTTGGAAGGTAAAACCTCTGTATAATCAATAACTAAAGCAAAAGTAAAAAACAAAATGAAGAGTAAAAATCGTGACAATGGCTGCAGATCTGAACTGTCAAGAAGAAAATGGAAGAATTAGCATTGGAAGTCAAGAACAAGAGCCAGCAACAAATGCCATGAATACATAAATGAGGAAAATACATATTATACAAAGAAAGATTAGATTAGATTCAGATAAATTCTTAAACAAGTTATGATTGAATGGCAAAATGATACATGTAAAAGTAAATTTATATTAAAAAGACTGTGTGGATTTTGAGTTTCAAAGTATTAATATGATCCAAATATTGACAAAAACATGCTAATAAATTTTTTGTTGTTGTTCATTGCATAGTCAGCCAGACATTCAAATTAGGTTTGCCATTTTTGTCTACCTAGTGCGTCCTTTCTAAGGACTGGCATAGGCGCACCTGGATGTTTGATGGTGTTACAGATATTGTGACAGGATGTAAACTCTTCTGAGTAAAGCCACCTTAATGTGTTGAATCATTTATTTAAATCAGTAAAATTACTCTTCATCTAAGAATGCCCTAATGTGGGTTATAATGATAATGTGATAATATGCTCTTTTTTTATTTGTATATCCATGACCTGCCAGACATTGTGCATCATCTCTGGCACATTGCATTAAACTCTTGTGCACTGGTAACCATACTTAGCAATATCATTAGAAGACAACAATCTTTCATTTGGCTATGGTCAGGATGGTGAATAATAAGGTCCTTCCTATTCAGCAAGACAGTCCATTACAAGATTAAATCCCAGGCCAGCATGGAAAACAGCTATCCATTTAATATTTATTCCATTTAACCCTGAGAATGCCTGGAGATAGGAATGGTCCATAGTACCTTCTTATGGTCTGACCATTAGTGTTCTCTCTACCAAGCCACCTGGGGCTTTGATCTATGTTACTCTGCCTGATCTAAATAGAACAGAATTAGGTGTGATACTGTAAGAAGTGCTCTGACCTTATCAATGGGGTGGAAAGATTCCCCTTGTTGTAATTCTGATCTGACATGCAAACTATTAAACAAGATTATGTATGACGTGCATAATTTCCAATTTGTTACAGGTTCATCTGTGTAATTAATTGTAAAGATTAATTTATTGAAAAATGTTTTAATAAAATCTAAATAGATGTTGGTAAAATTCTACTATCTGTATATGTTTATTTCATAAAATGTACAGTGTTTCAAATGTGTTGTCTATTTGATCATATGTAATTACTACTTTATTTAATATTTTTATTCAATTGGTCTGAAAACTTTAAGTTAATAATGGTGTAACTCAGGGGTGTCAAATTTGCATTATCACTGCATCATCACGTGATATATCATGATTTTTTTCCCCCTTTGCTAGACCGGGTGCGAGCGTGGTTAGCGTGATTCATCCAGCCACAGGCCACAAGTTTGACAGTCCTGGTGTAATCTAAAGCATGGTATTTAATGGATATCTTGCCACAAAATATAATGTCCAAGCTGGGACATGTTTAGAAATCTGCTTTTACTTACTAAAATTTAATTAGATTTACATTAATAAACTAACATATTAGGATTACTCTTGATATATTTAATAGTTCTCCTTTTTCTCCTTTTTCTATAATTTAACAGTGCAATTTGACTGCAAATTTTTTATCAGGCAATGGAACTAAACACAATAATTTTGAACACATGTAGCCTTTGGGTCACAGATTATGATTCCTGGCAATAAATCTTTGATACTCAAGCCTGACCACTGTATGTCAAGAGTTAAAGCAGGTGAAAGCAGCAGATTCAGCATCCTCTTTCTAAGAAAATGATGAAACCCACTGCAACAAATAACACTATTTATTCATTTTATCCAATTTATATAGTTACTCAATGCCCAGAGCAACTGACTCTGAATGATATACAATTTAAAAAACAAAAACAAATCTGAAATAACCATTAAAACAAACATAAATATAAACAGGACCACAGCAAAATTGATCAAAATCCTACAAATATGTGATCTTTATGTAGGTCTTTAATCTAGAGTCCAAACTCTCCACAGTAATCCAATAAACAGGCTAGATTTTTTTTTTTTTTGCTTTGGATGTTGTATTATATACATCCTCAAAATTTACTTAATCATGCTGTTGCCAAATAAAATTTGTCTGATTTCTTGAGTCCAGTTAATGAATGGATGCCTGAGATGCACTCCATTATGCTCCCCCACCCCCCCTCACATTGGGCTATAATGCTAAAATATTTTGTCTAGTAAATGTAATTCCATTTAAGTAAACAGCAAGCTCCACAGATATATTCTGATGAACGATCTGGCTAAATAATATGAAACATTTGCCCTTGCAAAGGGACCCTTCTGATTTATTGATGAGGATGACATCAAACATAAAACAGCAGGTCTCTGTGTCTTTATCTCTTTTCCATTATTCATTTAAACAATAATATTATTTCAACTGAATGCAAACAACATTTCTGCTTTTGGAGCAGTGAAGACAAGGAATGGGTTCCAAACTATTCAAAAACAGGTCACAATAAAATAAACTGTTCAAAATGGCATCTTGTACAGAATTGTCAATTCTATTTACAATTTTAAAAAAAGTCCATGCCTTGATTTTTTAATACATTTTTTTTAAGTTTTCTATCAATGTGCATGAACCTGGAACATAGCCCTGCAGGGGGCATCAATTCACCTCATATCTTTTTTGAAACAAGTAGATGCAAAAAAAAAAATACAACTCTACAACAACGGAAACTCTGCATCATACAAAATAAGTAACTCAAGTCTGATTTGAGAATAAAGCTCAAATATAATACTATTCATTTATTTCAAGAGGGTGACCAGTATGCATTTTGCTGCAAAAAATCCAGTTGTTTGGCTGAAAAAAGATCCTTATGATATGTCTTCTTTATGAGGCATCTGCATTTGTGTGTGTTTTTGAGTGTTTATGTAGTCATAAAATACAATGCAAGTGAATATATCCATAATAAATGTCCCCAGTAAAATACTAAAAAATATATTTATTAAGTATCAAATTGTACCTGTGTGAGTTTTTCCACAGGTACAATTTGATACTTAATATGAGCAAGCTTGTTAATTATGTGAGTAAGAAAGCTAGCCAATATTATTCAACATCATATGAAATGGAGGAAACAACACACACTTGTTTTATACATTGAGCAAATAGATTTTTCAGATTTTGTCAAATGATCTAATTCAAGTCATCACTATATTTTCTTCTTTCTCATTATGTGAAATATAAGCACTTGAGTGAAAAAAAACATAGGACAGAATTAGATGTTTTTATCTTATCAGGATACATGAACAGAATTTTTATTTTTCAATGTGATATTCATGTTGAATATCACATTAATCATGTTGAAGTACAAAATCTAACCAACTGCATATATGAAATGTGCAACATTAAAACAGTTTCTATTCTGACAGATTAAGTAATCTAATCTTTAGTTAGATTCTTATAATTTTATAACAAAACATCTGTCATGGATTCTCCCAATCTGAAAAGCATAATATACAATATAGTTTTAAAGTATTTTTTAAAAAGCAACTTGATTGGAACCTGCAATCAGAGTTGTGGTAATGTTATGTTATTGCATGTCCTCTAATATTAATTTAATATTCTATTCATTGTAAGCCACTTAGAGTCTCAATTTGGCATAATACAAATTCATATATAATATAATATGAACATTGTTTAAAGTAAATGCTCATGTGATTGTACCAATCAACAATTCTATTACCATATATGCAGAAATTGTTTCCATTGAGAAACAGAGGAAGAAGCTGAAAACTTCTTGCTCCCATCCTTTCTGCATATTTTCCAGGTACTAATCTGACCATCTTCCAAATGTTGGTTTCTTTCTTCCTCTGATATTTCTACATGTTTCTTCCTGGAATTTTCTAAAGGGTTTAAGTTTAAGGGAGAGAGGGGTTGACTCCTATATCATTTTAATCACCATGCCAAAGCTACAGACCAGTTAAATTTGGGTTTTAACTTCATGGTGGTATGAAAAACCATGGAACTCTATTCTGAACACCAGCCATGGTTTGACAATAAAATAATTTACTGTATAATCCTAGTTTCAGTTGTTACGTGTTGTTATAATGGATAGCATGCACAGAAATCAAGATGGGTGGCATTATTCAGTCATTCTACTCCTGCAATGACAATTAGCCTCTTTATAAACTATTAAATACTCAGTTTGTTATAGTTATGTTAATAAAAATATTCTGCCTCCCCCAAACTTAAGCTTAATTTATTAATCCTTATAAACTATTAATGTATCTTCAATTCAAGCAAGAGTGGTAGAAGTATTAGCATACACCTTAAAGTGGAGTAACACAGTTTTAAAAATAGGAAAAACCCTTGTATCCTAAATTTTTTGGAAATGTTATTCATTAAAAGTTTATTTGCCATTGCTTTTACATTTTCTCATGGGATGGCAACAGTAGGACCGTAATGTTTGTCACACTTAACAACTGAAACTATTATTACACAGTAAATTATTTTATTGCAAATTTGTTTATTATATTTATATTCTGTCCTTTTGTGCTTAAAATGATTTTTGAAAGCAAGGAAAAACTGACAGAAAGGTAAAAATGAGCCAAGTTTCTCCAAGCCAATATTTGTCTTTCTGACAGAAGACAAAAATGTAATAGGTTTAGTTTAGTTTGTTTTGTATATAGATAATTTTGTTATCTATAATATAATATTGTTCTACTACAACGGTCTTGGCCAGAAAATGAATAGTTACCTTATACATCCTACTTTTCCAAAGCTATGCATTTTTTTAATAATACATTTGTTTATTATTACATAATTTCTTTTAAAAGGATCTCTTAATTATCCAATTATTCACACATATTTTAAGGCTGCCACAGCAGATTATAAATATACCAGCTATAAATGAAAGGGAGGAACTACACTATGTGTAATTTATGAAACATTTTTCTTCTTTTTTCTTTTGATATTGTTTCATTGTATTTATTTGCTACTTCATCTTCAAAACTCAGTAATTTGCAATGGGTCTCCCAGTCAGTGCAAATTAGCATGGCTCTACTGTATTTAAATTTAATTGCTTTTTAAATTAATTAATTTATTTTAATTCTCTATAATAATTTGCTACAGGATATTACTTTTCCTGAGCGGGTTCATTTCCCTGAACGAGTTTGTTCTGGTTTTGTAGTTTATTGCATATTTAAGAGCTTTTTAAAATATTTATAGGCAGTGTTCTGTTTTGACTTCTAATACAGTATATTTGAACTTCATGTTTAATATACATATATTTTAAATATTCTGATACTTTTTGAACCTTAAGCCTAATGCTAATGCTTTGGGGATTCTATTAATTGTAATCTATGAATCGGCACTAAGCATAGAAGCCAATTTGACTAAAATATAAAGCTGTAAAAATGTTTATATTTGGTTTGAAGGTACTTACAAGTGTTCTTGAAAATTATTATGGGACTAGGTGGTTTATGAAAAAAACATGATCTTTATTGATTTTTTTTTCTTCAGCTATAAAGGTGTGACCAGATGAACTCTTAATACATGATTTCAAGGGAACTGGATTTTGTTCTTTTGGGTCCAAAACACAATGCTAGTTCTTGTTGATATTGTAAAACTGTGACACAGCTGAGAACACAAATATCTGAAGGAATTCTCTAACCATAAATTTCACAAATACATAAGCAATTAAAAACAAAGCAAAATAGAGAATTTCACATGTATTTATGATATATAAATTATCATTAACATTTTTTTATTTAGCTTCTTTGCTTTTGCCAATAGATGCCAACACCTCAAGTAGAATTTAACTCCTGGGGGCTTCATGGACAAAACTGTTCAATTTCATTGGCAACAATATAGACAACTTCTCCCCCCCTCCCGGATTTCTAGTGAGGTCTATTCACCCTGGTATTCATTTATTGATATCTATCCAACCTTTAGTTTCCAGGTTCAAACAGGATTACCTAGGTCCTGCCACCTCTGGAGTTTTGGATAGAAATGGGGAATAAAAATGGAAAGTAATCTATTTCAAAAAAAAGTTGAAAGCAATCTTCTTGCCTACAGAAGATATGGGTGCTCCAACTCTGGGTGTTTTTAAGAAGAAATTGGCCACCATGTGTCTGAAATGGTATAAGGTTTCCTGCTTGAACAGGAGGTGGGACTAGAAGACCTCCAAAGTACCTTCAAAGTCTGTTATTCTATTATCACTACCACTAGTTCCAGCACTACCATCACTATGAAAAAAACCTACTCAGCAGCAGAAACAGTTATAAGTTCTAATATATATGTTCATTACTATATGCTCAGTGACTGGCACTGATTACTAATTGGCTTTTGGGTTCAATTCATCATTCTGGAGTCCATCTATGAAGAGATACATGCCTCGTGTCCTGGACTTGGGACATCACTTATCACTGGTATGAAATGCCTAACCTGGCATGCTCATCAGTCCCATTCATTAAATAGAATACAAGCATCCCTATGGTCTTGTCACTGCCAGCCTTAAGGAAGGCCATCTTCCAGGCACTAAATCAGGGTGGGTATAAATACACTGCAAATATAAATGAAAGAGTACCATATTCCCCTCCCCCCGCAATGTTTCCCACATTTTTATTTGTTTTTACTGTTGCTTTTTATATTATGGTGTTTTAAATCAGCTGAATGTATGAAAAATTGGACATGAGTTCAACCTGTAACCTTAACACCAGGTATGGCACATTAGAAAGGATAAAGAAGATCAGAAAAAATGAGCAAA